AAAAAAAATGAACAGGTCCACAAGGCCTGCAGAAACAATTTTGTGTCTGAATATTATTTTCATTTTTGTTTGGTTTAAGGGTGGCAGTGTTGTGTTTCAGTCCAGTGCTAATCCCTATGACATTGTGGATGATTTACATCTTATTAGCATTTATTACACAACCTTGTTCAAGAGGCCTGAAGTTTATAAACATATACCACAATGCAGGCCAAATGAGTTTGCAACAAAGATTAGATACAGATGTACCCTCAACTATTTCAAAATAATCCTCTCCCATTTTGGTTTTGATTCCTGTGTACAAAGCATGCAATGGAAGTCTTTGCAGCTTGTATGTCAGTTTGTTCTACCGATATCTCAAATACCAGATAACATTTCATGGAAATTAGGTACTGTAAAATACTTTATTTTCGCTTGGAATTAATTTTCGCTATTTTGGCTGAAGATGATTCAGTATAAATAAAATTCCATGAATATACCCATTTTCCCATATAACTTTTCAAAAATCGGTGAAAATAAATTCCCTACAAAACACCCAAAAAGTCTTTTCAGCTAAAATGAAGTATTTTACAGTATATAGATGCTTTGGGCTAATGACATGTAGATGTTGTATATGTTGCACAGTAACTACATGCTTCTTTAGTTGAGTGGGCATCCCCGTCAATCTTGAAATTGTTAGTTTAAATCAATGTTGCTGTTAAAAAATAAAATTTTAAATAGTAACTTAGATCGTGCCAGAACAATCTTGTTCTAATAAATGTCTATTAACTAGTTTTCGATAAATAAAAAACAATCCTTTTATAGTAAACTTGCATTATTAGAACAAGAACGTTAACTGGAACAAATTATGCTGAACAAAAACTATCTAGAGCGGTAGTTGTTGTGCTGCGCATGTGCGAGATATATGGGTCTCCTATAAACAAAGATGGCGACTTTGACTGTTGCGCAGATCAACGAGTATGAACTGAGAAGTTTCCAAGCTTAGGCAATTTTCATGTGATTGGAAGGTATCGAAGGAGTCACCATACGTAATCAGTGCAAGTCGCACATGCTCAGCGCAACGACTACCACCGCACTTTAAGTAACACTCAGACTGTCACCTTCCCACAATTCCATGCTCACAGCCTTAGTGTAAGATTGTTTCAGTCAGCTGGCGCACACGTGATAATAAAATAAATACGATATTTACTATATGGGGGCCGCCATCTTGAATGACGCATAAAACTAAATAAGAGACAAGTTGTGAAACATGTTTTTCAGATCCTATGATGAAC